ATGGGTCCCATAGCGGTAATGCCGAAACACTCATCGACGACGTCTAAATGGCTACAGATTCATTGCTACAGCAGATCCCATCCGCGGAGATCGTGATCCTCGGCGATTTTAACGCCCACCACGCCAAATGGCTCGGTTCAAGTTTAACCGATCATGCAGGAAGATTTGTTCATGATTTTGCCTTAGTATATGGTCTAACACAACGGGTTACTTTGCCTACGCGGATTCCAGATGTGGAGGATTGTGCACCTTTCCTGTTAGACAAGGTTTCTGTCGACGCCACTCTTGGCTCCTCGGACCATTGTCTTGTCCGGAGTCTGGTGCCACTCACGCTGAAACCGCGGTTGCATTCTGCAGGCTGCCGCCGTATTTAGCACTATAGGTCGGCCGATTGGGATAGGATGCGGTCTTTCTTTGCATCCTACCCTTGGAGACGGGTCTGCTTCTCGCCGGATGATCTCAACGTTGTTGCTAAGTCTGTCGCTGATGTGGTATTTCAGGGTATGGAACTTTTTATTCCTTCCTCTATAGTGCCCCTCGGAAGCAGATCTCGCTCCTGTAAAATAGAATCATGCTATAAGCAGGAGTGTTACCGGGACTGGGCTGACGCATAAACGTCCCGGGATGTAAACACCGGCGCCCTAAAAAAGAAGTATAATTCCGTCTCCAGGTCCTTCAAAAGAGCCATTGTCAAGGTAGAATTGGTGAGAAACTAGTTCGCCTTCCTTCTGGAACCCGTGCATTATGGTCTCTCGCCAAGGTTGTCCAAGTCCAAGGGAATTTCTGTCAGCCATCTCTTCCATCTCTGCACAAGGAGGACAACTCACTGGCGCATGCCGCCAAAAAGAAATCCGTTCTGCTAGGCTATTTCTTTGCCTCCAACTCGACTCTCGATGACGGGAAGAGCACACCGCCGACCATCGCGCGGTGTGAGTACTACATGCTGGATGTGCGGTTCACATAGCGCTCGGTTCGCAAGGCACTCCTCTACGTGGACATCCACAAATCGAGTGGGCCTGATGGAATCCCTCAATTGTGCTGATGACGTGTGCTCCAGAGTTGGCACCGGTTCTAACGCGACTTTTCTGGTACTCCTACTCCCTTGGCGTAGTACCAAAATCATGGAAGACGGATTTCGTCCACCCGATCCCTAAAAAAGATCAGATCACGTCAGATCCGTCTTACTACAGGCCTATCGCCATTACCTCCAAAATATCTCCAAAATAATGGAATCCATTATAAACTACAAGCACATGCAGTACGTTGAGGATCACCAGCAGATTAGTAGTGGATGCTTGTCGGTCCACCACTGTACGTTTCACTAGAAATTTTCTTCCGGGTACGACCTCTCTGTGGAATAGTTCACCACCTTCACGAAAAAAGCTCTCCTTTTTTACGTGGGCGGCGGAACTCCAGTGAACGTACTCTTATTCTCCTCTATAAAAAAATTATATGCGCAGAAATACATAATACTATTATAATATGTATTTCTGCATGTAATTCTTTTTAAGAATCCGTTCATTGGCATATGAAACAGAGACTATGCTCGTACCTAATAGATGATTATAATAAGTAAAGTAATTGATGTAGAAAATACTTTCTTAAAACAGTTTAAAGCGATAAAATGTAAAGAAGAAAAAAATTATCTATAACTTATCATGTTTTACTTTCATACTTATAAATCGGAAAGTTCATTGAGAAAAGTCTTTAATAATACTGCTCGTTCTGCAGCAAAGTACCATTGTAATATTTTCCTGTATTCTGTCATTAAACAGAGCCGGCATATCGATCCGTCTGTAGCACTTGGCCGCGCGCCAGCTCTACCTTACCGACCTGTTGGTAAGGTAATTTGCTTCTATTTTTTTGTGATAAATGCTCTTGTGAACTTAAGTCGGAAACATTTACATTACATGATTAAAACTACTTTTACGGATTTTATCGCGTTTATTTTTACTTTTTATTTACTTTTATTTTTAATTCCCGACGTTTCGGGCGCTTTCCAGCACCCATAGTCACGGGGGACTAAGATGACTGACGTCCCGATGTCATTGTTAAACCCGGAGTACCTTCAGCTTTTTTAATTATTGTTTATGGTCCGATCTATGCAAAATGAATTATGTCCTGAGGTCTAGCAGTGGTATGCTTGGGTTTAGTTTTAATTTTATCGATTATAGGATCCCAAGCAGGTGGTAGTACCCAGCCTCCTTCTCTATTGAAATTAGGATGTTTTTTAATTTCAATAGCCTCACGTATCATCCTTGGTAGGAATCGGTGTTCTTTCGCGAGGATTTGTGGTCTATCAAATCTGATGTAATGGTTGGGTCCGTCTAGGATATGATCACAAACTGCAGACTTCCCGGAACGTTGATGCTTCACATCAGCTATATGTTCTTTTACGCGGGTCCTAATTGATCTTTTTGTTTGTCCTATATAAGAGAGACCACATTCACAATCAAGCTTGTACACTCCTGCATCTTGTAGAGGAATATGACACTTGACGGATGGTAGGAACTGACTAATCTTCTTCGGCGGCTTGTAGAATGTTCTAATAGAAGCTCGCTTCAAGATATAGCCAATCTTGTCTGTGACACCTCTGACGTATGGTAGTACAGCAGGCACACGCTCGACTGTGGCCGGCTTCACTCGGTCACTGTGACGTAGGCGCGGGACCCGAAGCTTGTTGTCGTGCAGAACTTGCTTGACGTGCTGAAGCTCGGCGGCCAGATGTTTGCTGTCACAGATCCCTCGTGCTCTCTGTAACAAAGATTTGCCCACGGTAGCTAACTGTGAAGGATGATGGTGAGATTCACCGTTTAAATATCGGTTTGTATGGGTCCTTTTCCTATACACAGTGTGACCAATGGTGTTATTAGGATTTCGGATGACTAACACATCTAGGAAAGGTAAGGAATTATTTGCCTCTAACTCCATAGTAAATTGAATTTTAGAATTTATGGAATTAAGATGTTCTAAAAATGCAGTTACTTTGTCTGATGGTAAAATTGTGAAAGTATCGTCTACGTACCGCTTGTAGATCCTTGGTGTAACAGGTGCAGTGCAGTGCTTCCATGAATATATCGGCGACAATGGGAGATACAGGTGAGCCCATCGCAACACCATCTACTTGCTTGTAAAACTCTTCCTTCCACAATAGATAGCCAGATGTAAGGCAATGTCTTAGTAATACTGCATATTCTGCTGGCATGTTATTTTCTTCTAGTTTCCTAGTTATAATTGAGATGCAGTCTTCAACAGGTAGGCATGTAAATAGAGACTGAACATCAAAACTGACCATGGTTTCATTGTCAGTAAGATGTAGGTCTTTTATCTCACTGACAAAATGGTATGAATCCTTAGTGTGTGCTCTTGTGTGTCCTCTGAGTGGTGATTTTACCATCAGATAAAGTAACTGCATTTTTAGAACATCTTAATTCCATAAACTCTAAAATTCAATTTACTATGGAGTTAGAGGCAAATAATTCCTTACCTTTCCTAGATGTGTTAGTCATCCGAAATCCTAATAACACCATTGGTCACACTGTGTATAGGAAAAGGACCCATACAAACCGATATTTAAACGGTGAATCTCACCACCATCCTTCACAGTTAGCTACCGTGGGCAAATCTTTGTTACAGAGAGCACGAGGGATCTGTAACAGCAAACACCTGGCCGCCGAGCTTCAGCACGTCAAGCAAGTTCTGCACGACAACATGCTTCGGGTCCCGCGCCTACGTCACAGTGACCGAGTGAAGCCGGCCACAGTCGAGCGTGTGCCTGCTGTACTACCATACGTCAGAGGTGTCACAGACAAGATTGGCTATATCTTGAAGCGAGCTTCTATTAGAACATTCTACAAGCCGCCGAAGAAGATTAGTCAGTTCCTACCATCCGTCAAGTGTCATATTCCTCTACAAGATGCATGAGTGTACAAGCTTGATTGTGAATGTGGTCTCTCTTATATAGGACAAACAAAAAGATCAATTAGGACCCGCGTAAAAGAACATATAGCTGATGTGAAGCATCAACGTTCCGGGAAGTCTGCTGTTTGTGATCATATCCTAGACGGACCCAACCATTACATCGGATTTGATAGACCACAAATCCTCGCGAAAGAACACCGATTCCTACCAAGGATGATACGTGAGGCTATTGAAATTAAAAAACATCCTAATTTCAATAGAGAAGGAGGCTGGGTACTACCACCTGCTTGGGATCTTATAATCAATAAAATTAAAACTAAACCCAAGCATACCACTGCAAGACCTCAGGATATAGTCAGTTCATTTTGCATAGATCGAACCATAAACAATAATTAAAAAAAGCTGAAGGTACTCCGGGTTTAACAATGACATCGGGACGTCAGTCATCTCAGTCCCCCGTGACCATGGGTGCTGGAAAGCGCCCGAAACGTCGGGAATTAAAAATAAAAGTAAATAAAAAGTAAAAATAAACGCGATAAAATCCGTAAAAGTAGTTTTAATCATGTATAGTGTTCGCGTAAATATAAGAAATCATAACATTTACATTATTTAAAACTTTTCGCAGTTGCGACAGAGAAGCATGTATGGACGTAAAAAAATGGAGGCGAGAGAAGTATGTCAGGGTTGTGCCAAATAGAAGTCCGCGGTCTCCGCCTACCGTTTAGGTACTGAAAAAATGAAGAGTTTAATATACTCCTTAAAGACCATTCTTGTTTCTTTTATATTTTTTATACAGCTGTTATTTAATAGTTGATTAAAAAGTGTTTTCAAAAAAATAAAGACGCAGTACGTTTTGGACCCAAAATTTAAAAAAAATATGTTTTTTTTACATTTATCTCTAGTGAAGTAAACCAAGAAAATGGAAATCAAATAGTATAAAAGCGAAAAAAGATAGCAAAGGGACATAAAAGACACTGTGATTGAATTTCGTAACAGTGTGTTTTCATAATTGCTGTTGAGTGTACCAAAATATCAAGGAAGAGGAGAAGAGGTACTGCGAGGGAGGTGCTTGTTGTAAGATGGAAGATAATGCTGCTGGAGTGTACATATACAGGTATGTGATAAATACAACATAGACATTTAAAGTCACGAGTTCCCAACTGAGCAGCCTTATGGGAAAATATTCAAAAGCTACAAGTAGCGGCACGAAAGTCTAGCGGTGACAGTTATTGCGCATAAGTCGAAAATATGGTATCATCGTCGTAAGGGTAGCAAGCGGGTCGCGATGCTGGTATCCGTATCGTTCGCACGTGCTGATTGGCTACTGCTACTTGCGTACGGCTACGGATATTGGCGTACTGATACGAAATGCACGGCTATCCCCTCCACGTTTTTCCAGTGCTAGACTTACGTGCCGCGACTTGTACTCAATTTTGAGATTCCGTCTCGTGGTGTCACAGTCATCATCATTACAATTTTGAGATTCCGTCTCGGTCACACCCATGCCTTACTTAGCTCTCGGGTGTCACAATATCTTGGTTCACATCATCATCATAAATTTTGAGATCCGTCTTATCATACAATTTTGAATTCCGTCTCGTGGTGTCACATCATCATCATTACAATTTTGAGATTCCGTCTCGTGGTGTCACAGTCATCATCATTACAATTACAACCTCTCACAAGTCACTGCTGAAAATACGCCTCCCTCAAAGAATGCCACAAAGCATGGTCCTGAGCCACCTGCATCCATCGACTTCCTGCATATCTTACCAGGTCGTTACTTCTTCTAGTGGGGGGTTAAATAATGTAAAATAAATAAATAATAAAAATACGTGTAACATGTTAATATGTATAATGGCAGTTGTTTAGACGTTACTGACAGACATTTCAATTTTATTTATATAGTTATATAGATTTAGTCTGGGTGACAGTGTATTACAAATTACATAGACCAAAACCCATTTTTTATTAGTAGAACATGAGGGCGAGTTCTTCGCTCACCAATATAGCTTGAAAGTTAGAAACGCCATAAATTTTTAATACATGGCCTGGTTATTTTTTCAAATAGCCGTTTCTGTTGTATTAAAGTATACAAAGACGGAATATGCCGATGAATTGCGTTTCACAAAAAATGTCTACAAACTATTTATTAATTGTTGTATTGTATTGTTGTCGATTTATCGAATGGGGGGTGTGACAAACGAGCACACAGTTCACCCGATGGTAAGGGGATGCTGTGGCCCATAGACATCTGCATTTATCTTCGATTAAGGATCAAAACCCAGATGCGTTATCACCCCTGAGGACTACGATGGAATGCCTCGTTTCCAGTAAAAAGGGGTCTCCGGTTTTCTACACTCACCATATGAAACACAGCAGAATTAAGCTGCTATTTTACGCTAGTATTCTACAGGAGCGTGGTCCTTCCCAGGTTGAGCCGACCCATTCGTGCTACAACCATAAAATATATAATTTATAAGGAAGACGCTGCTGCTCATCTTCTGGTTCAGTTTCTCTTTGTCGCCTCTCTCGACACCCACGGTATGATATGGGGTAGTTGATATTCTTACACCGCCACTGCAAGGTAAAACAGCCAGTAGTCATATAAAGTATAAAATAAAGAAGTACTACATACATCAAAGTTAACTTAAAGGATACCGCATTAAGTATATAGGATGGAGTACGTCTAGGTTTGATCGCATAAAACTAGGTTCAACCGATTGCGGTTGGATAAATTGACGTGTCATTCCATTAATTATTGGCTAAAACTGGTTGTGGTCGCTTCCTTTTGGAGAAAAATAGGTACAACAAAGCCCAAATAAATAAATACTTATTAATATTCACTTGGTAAAGAAAAACATTGAAGAAGTCGGCATATCTCATGAATTTACAATATCTCGATAGCCGAGAGGTTAATACTGGTAGAGCTACCAGTCTGTGATTTTTAATGGACAGCGTTTTGATTTTACGCCAATAGTTGTCAGGCCTACGTTCGTTCATCCACAAGGTATACCGTGAGCAGTTTCTTGTTAGTTAGTTAGTAGTGGTTTGGCATTTAGTGAGAAAACTTCCACCTTACACCCCCTATCTACCTATTACAATATTCTTCTTCTCCATCAGCCCGTAAATGTCAACTTCTAGGCTTTCGCGTTGCAGGGAGACCCCGCCTTAATCGCGCGGCTTAATAACTGCAATACCAGATGCCTTGTACCTTTGATCACGGAATAAATAATAGCTTTTGGAACATACCCCATGTTCCAAAATAGAACCAAGTGTACTGTCCAATGCAAATGACGTCATGAAACGACGTTATACTGGTGATTCGTTCCAAAACATGGGACAGTATTTGACGTCATACATTTGCGCCATATTGGAAAAGTGTTGGCGATTATTTTGTCATTTTGTGCTCCAAAAGTCATTATAACCTCCTAATGGAGATACCAGCAATAATTCTATAATTTTTTGTATTTGAATAAATAAAAACAAATTCTGACATGCTTCATTCAGCGCACACACATTTAAAAATTATTTCATCATGGCTGGATATCCAACACAATATGGCGGCGGCAGGCCAGTACAATATAGTGTCATTTATGGAGTGTAGAAGTAAGGAGTACCAACTCCAATAGTAGAATAGTTGAAAAAGTGGCCTTCTGTAAGCAGTAAATAACAGTTCAAAAGCTCTCTTCAACAGCGCTGGAGTAGCTACTGGGATGAAATTAACTAGCAGTTGTCGACGGTTTGAAGTGTGCTGCTAAACGGCTGAGTAGTTCTAAAATCTAAAATAATTTTATTTAGTAAATATAACCTCGAACAAGTCGTCTATCCCACTAATATTTTCGATACGTTCTTTAAAATTTAGCCCATAGCTATAGTGGCACCACCCTTATTTAACGGTTTTCTATGGACACTTTTTAATACACAGTTTGTACTCCTTACTTCTACACTCCATACCCTTGATGTTTATGCCTGTCACCTGACTTGGGATTTTACGTAGTTGGTAAGCGAAAACATGTTAGTTTCAACGCCATCTAACGGAAGATAGGTATAAGATTTATTTTTCTGACATTTCTCAGTGGCCTCTTACTACGGGATGAAATGGGATTATTAAGTCCTAAATAAAAAAATAGGAAATATTTAGAACTTAATAAGAACGAATTCAGATTAATTGATGGTTTCTATATTTAAAAAACAGAATTCTATTCTAACTTACAAACCGCTTTAAATTGTTTTAATAAGGTTTTAATTTAAGCCATTTCGGTTGTCGAATGAACAGCTTGTAATAAAAACTGTTATTTTAAGTACATCGTATATATGGATCGTTATGGAGAACGAAACATATCTTGAATACGGGAATCAATCAGTGACAAAAGTCACTTTACTTAATTAAGTTACTGTTTTCTGTTCACAACTTAATTCGTTTTAAACTTAATTAGGTTGATGTAATGATATACCTGTGATGTAAGTAATTAGTGTGACCATAATTGTTGTAATTATAAACTTTATAGTCATATTTTATATCGTAATTTAGTATATACACACCTAACTTAGGAAATTTGAACTTGGGTAGGGACACGTTCGTGATAAATTTGTAATCAGGAATTGAAAACAGGTTGTATACAAATTATTATAAATTATGCACATTGTAGCTCTTATTTAGGTTTTACTACTCTTCGATGTATTTATGTATCGATCTTCATTGAATTATTTGATATTATTTTTAGATAATTACTTCAATTATTACATAGTATATTGTTTAAGAAATAATACAATATTGTCTGAGAAAAAAAACGGAGACGTGAAGTTCGCCAACATGCATTAGGGCAGCGTGGCGCACACTTTCTTGCCTTACTTAAAACCCTCTCAGAAATGAGAGGAGGCTTGTGCCCAGCAATGGGACATATAATATAGGCTATAAATTTTACTTTAACGTATTGTTAAGCTGTATGTTGTTTTAATTATTGTGTGATAAGTATATAATTCAAACAAGTTAGAGCTTGTTTGCTTCATGTATAAAAAAATGAATGTACGGTGAGGTAGCGCAGTGGTTTAGCAACGGGTTACATCGCTGAGGGCCGCGGGTTTAAATTCCGCACGGAACAAGTATTTATATGGCCTACAATTGATTACTCCAGGTCTTTAATGTTTGTCTACGTACAGTTTTTTTTATATAAAACTCCTCCACCGAGAAAAATCTACTTTAATGTATTTTAACCGACTTCAAAAAAGGAGGAGATACTCAATTCGACTGTATGTTTTTTTATTGTTACCTCAGAACTTTTTTCTAGGTGAACTGATTTTAGACGACTCTTTTTTATTTAAAAGCCGAAGCTTCTCATGTCGTCCGATGTAAATTTGATCAAGATTTGACCAGTAGTTTTTGAGTTATCCTTAATAATTCGTATTCAATTGACTTCGAACACATTGATGATGTTCTCATTTTATTTATATTGAAGTCATAGTACAAAAATTTTAATTATACCACTTGTTTAGCTAATATATAGCTAAACAAGTGGTGAAATTAAAATATATAATATATAGCTATAAAGTTACTCGTTTTGTCTGCGTAAAGGTGTGTCAACTAGAGTTGTCACAAAATACCAACTTTTCTCTCCTATCCTTATCATATTTCATGTATGTAGTATACTTTAAAATCTTTCTGGAGAAATGCTTACTCTAAAATGCTGGTGCAATTCCAATTTAATTTCCATCAAGTAGTTTTAAGTTTAGAGTATGAAAACACAGACAGACTTGACTTTCCTTTGTTCTATAAATTATTGTGATTATACATAATTTAAACGTATCACAAAATGCAACGCGTTATGATATTACGGCAATTCATTTGAGTTCATATTTTTATGCAGCTAGGTCAAGGGAAACAGCGTTTTAGGTCGATTGCAACCTGTATGCAATTCTTTGGACAACTACTAACTTTTAACATAACATAACACAAACCCTCATGCCCATTATTCATAGAGGCAGGCTGAGATTGTAGACTTCCATGGGGCACGATCCTCACATACAAACCGCTTCTTTCAAATCCATAATATGTCTACGCGTCCATGCTCGTCGGTTAGATGCGATCTTAATTTGGCCCATCTCTATTCGCCA